CTAAAGTAATTCCATATAGCATCCATAGCTAAAACAAAAGAAGACGTCTAATACACAATTTGTGATTTCACACAGAAGTTCAAATAAGCGACCTTTGGGTAGCATTGATGGTGAATCAGGAGATACGAAGAGACTGCGAATTGTACGAGATATCGATGTGAGTAGTCGACGAAAATATGTCTTCATTTATTCATCGAGTGTTATCAATCTTTCTAATTATCTTTCCTTGATCTTAGACTGCTAAACTAAAGATGTTGTACGGACAACCGAAGGTGTCGCCGAAAAAACAACTGTCCTTCCAAAGGTGGATTGAAAAGAATGAAAGCTTCGAGACAATAGCCGAAAAGCTAAACGTGAAACAAGCCACTGTGGAGGTTTATGTCATAGATTTGATAGCACTTGGAAGGGGGAATAACGGGGATCGTGCGAAACTGCTACGAGAGCTAGCAGTATCGGACGATTTATTTGAGGCASTGGTTCGTAATCTACAACAACAACCAAACTCTAAACTGAAAGACCTGAAGGAAGTCACAGATATGACATACAATCAAATCAGAGCTGTTATTGCTGTAATGATAAATGGCTTCACTAAATTGTAGGAAAAATCGAAACCATRCGCAAACAATCAAGACATATAATCTCAATATAGCATGTAGCCGAACTAAAGTAGTTTCGTTTCACCAAACTCATGTATGTCAATTCGTTTTCTCATGTATATCTTGTCAAAAATTATTCTTGTAAAACTGTTACGTTTGTTTACTTCTATTTTCAATAAACAGCAAAATTCATCATATTGTTGACTGACTTACTCTTCATTTGACAACTAGGAATGTTCAGCACTGTAGAGATCCGCCATATATCCATAAGAGATCTGCCAAATATTCTTTTTTTTTTTTCTAATAAAAGATGGCCTTTTCAAGTACAATTTTTTGTGGTCAAGAATTGCAAGTCAAATATTTTATAGACTATAATTATCAGAAGAAAAATCAGTCTCTTGAAATATATTCAATGTATCTAATACTGTATCCAAACTAAGAAGTATTTGTCGGCCATAGATTTTTTAAGTAATAACAAAAATGAATTTGCTTCTTACAAAATAATTTTACTGTGTCTCTGGATAAATACCCTAGTACAAGATAGTTTTAAAACATGTTAGTGTTCAAATAGTGGGTATTTCTTTTTAGGCCCTGCTTACACGAGATAATGGTGCMACAATCTAGTAGGGACAACCTTCTTTGTTCGAAAAGTTTTAGAGAACTGAAGCAAAAAAGAATTGAAGCAAAAAGTAGCCCTATTAGCTAGAGGACATTACCCCATGTAAAAAGTACCAATAGTACCAGAGTTTTTCCCACAGTTCGCATATTGTAAAAATAAATATTTATAAAATAAATATTAATACATCCTGTTACATATAGTTAATTTCGGTTAATGATCCTATCGTGAAATTGGTGAGCCACTTTGACTGTTGGTAGGAGTAGGTGCTGGTACTTGACCAGGTGATTGAATAGATGATTGGTTTGTTGGCTGAACAGATGGAAGAGGACCACTTTGACTGTTCATGGTAGGAGGAGGTGATAGCACTTGACCAGGTAATTGATTAGGCGGTAGGCTTAGTGACTGAACAGGGGGCAGAGGACCAGTTTGTCTGGTGGTAGGAGTCTGCTGTGCATTGGTTGTACATGCTGCTATGGATCTCCGGTTTTGCAGGGCATTACTGGTGACTTTGCGGTGGTAAGAGCTCCACCAAGACTTGATTTGCTTTACAGTAAGAACTTCTAAGCCAGCCTCTTCCATTGCTTTCATCGCATCATTGGGATCGGCTCGAATTTTATGTTGGGCTTGACGCTCATAGAACTGGACCATGATGTCTTTTTGACCTTCACTGAACTGTACTCTTTTCCCTGGTCCATGCTTTAAAGCAAATGATGCTGGAGGTCGCAGTTCTTCATAGCCATTGGATTGAAAATGGCTTGAATTAGGTGCACTTTGCGACTGTCGAGAATGTTGGATGAACTTTACTGAATAACTTTCACTGCTTGAG